TTCGTTTTTTTTTTTATTATATATATATATATATATATATATATATATATATATATATCATATATAATGAATTCGATGTATTAAATATTTAATGTTTAAAATTTATTAAACTAATCTCTTTTTAATGTAAATATGCGATATTCAAAATGCAACGCCATTTTAAATGAATGGCGATTCAAACCTGTTGCGAAAATTGTAATTAATTCAGATCATAAGGTTAAGCGATTCGTGTTTTTATATTAAAATCATATTTCTGTATATACTTCTGCTTAAAACTTATCCAATCGATAGCACTCGTCTGTATTTCCTATCTCCATTCTAGCGGAATTCAATGTATTATGGATCGGAATTATGCAATTCATGCAAAGTGGTGATTCACCAATTGCTGCAAAGAAATTTGACGTTGATACAGAGTTAATTGAAAAATTGTTGGAATTATTTAAGAAGAATCAATTGAAAAGAATACTATATCTTTCTATTTCTATCCGGTATTAAAATTATTTCATCAAAATAACGAAGATGTTCTCATGGAAATCTTAATATTTGAACAACGTAAAATACATTAAATTTATTGATTGTAGGAAAGATTGTAGGAAATATTATAAATAAGAGGAAGTTTCCATAATCTTTAACAATGTTAAAATATTAAAAAAAAAAGATGTTTTCTTTGAAATATTCTCTAGCCATCTTATACGTAAAGCCTGCATCGCATACGTAAAGAGTGCTTCTAAGAGAAATCCGCTACTGCAAAATTTGCGATTCATGTTCTCTGGTTTAATGCTCAGCACAAATTTATAGACTAATGCTTCGGCAAGAATCTTGCGGAATTCCGCTGAAGTCTGGTAGCAGTTTGATCAGGTTGCAGTTTATGCAACATTTCCAAGGCAGTCTTCAGCTTCTGCTTATCGAGGTGGTTTACCTTCTAGACATTCCGTATTTTTCGCGGGTAAGAAATCCCATATTGATACTATCGAAAGTAATATTAGACTTCTCCAGTACTTTCTCATGAAATATTGCGAATATTCTAAACAAATAATTAACGATAATTAACGTAACAGAAATGTGAAAATATTCCGTTGCCTTGCTGCCATCGAATTTGGAAAGGAAACCTGTGTTGATTTGAGTATAAGCGTTTTAGATTCTAAGCATAATTTCGTAAGTTTATGCGTACTTGTTGGACAGCGATGGCAATATTACACCATGGATGATTTTGTAATGCATGTTGCTTTTAAAAAATTCTCACAACCTCATATTCTGCTTATGATCATGTGCCTCGAAAATATATGTTGCCACCGAATTTTCAATGTACTGCACAGTCAGTTTTTTAATTTGCACAGAAAATTACAAATAACAAACACATATTTATGCATGTTTTTGAATGCGAACATGATATTCATATTTATAAAAAACATGCTTCAATGAAATATTAACGTAAATAATACATAAAACATCAATATTCTATAATTTTGTACATGTGATTTTAATTATATCTTGTGTGCTTAATGGACAGATATTTATTCCAGGGATTTATTCATTAATTAATTAATTTATATTGTTTTTAAAATTATACTTTCTCGAATGTGAATTTATTTATTTATTTTAATTACCAAAAAATTAAAATAATTTTAATACGTATATTTATTTTAAAACATCTGGACTTTTGTAATAATGTTTTATATGACAATTTAATTAATTGGCTTAATTAATTTGATGACTATTTATATAAATTCATTAACATACCAGGGGAACAATATCCACATCGAATCATTTTTTTTGGCAAGCGTAGTTGAATGGTATGATAACCATTTCGCCCGTTATCTAAGTTTGTGTAAATGCCCTTTTTGTTTGACATTATTTGCATACATGTACATAAAACATTTAGTATTAGTATTAATTTAATATCGAGAGATGTTAAACAAATGCTATGTGCAAAATAACATTTAATTAAATAGCAATTTTTGATATCAAAGACGACGAATTTGTAATTCCCCATAAGACAAATTTTTTTTACTTTTTTAAAAATGAAATCTATATAAATTATATAAACATTTGGCTATATAAACATTTGTTAATACTATCGCAGATTAATGGTACAGGCGAGAATTCATAATCAAGATCTCATTTTTGATTTCCGCAGTTATGATACGTACACTGCAGCTATCTTCGTGATTTTTGTGCCACAGAGTTTCGTACAATTACGATTGTAGAAGTTGAAGGATGTACCAGCTAGAATACATCTCGACAGAAGGATAGAAAGAGGATGAAAGTAATTTTGCGATCATAAAATCGATGTAGTAATTATAATTATTCTAAATCCCTTGTCTACATGCATATTGAAAGTTATGCAGGCTTAGAAAAAAAAAAAAACGTAACATAATTTATTAAAAGGAAATGTTTTAAGAAAATATTTTTTATAAGTAGGCATAAATGTAAAGAGATAAAAATTTTAAGGATGTGTTATAATAAGAATTATCATTATCATTATATTTTTTTAACGTCATATCCATATCATACTTTTTATCAGATGATTATAATAACGTTTTTTATTTTAACGTATATCTAAACGAGTTTTATCTTTACTCTCAAAGTGTCATAAATTCTTTGCAGGTTAAATTATTGAGAAGTATACGCTCGGTGGTATATGGTCCATCTGCAACGATTATGAATTATAAAATGTGTTATAATATTATTTTGTAACAATAATATTTTATAAAAAAAATTTTCATTTTTACAGAAAAGAAATTTTAGTAAACTCTGAATATTACAACTTTTGTGATCTAGAATAATATATTTTTAATTACGTCATTACGAACACAAGTAATTAAATGTGTTTGACGTTAAATGATTTCATAATTAATATTAACTGATTATATGTTTAGATTATATGTAATTATTTTAAAAATTGGATCGCAAAATTTAATAAGTATTTCCATTAAATCATCTAATGTCTGTTCTTTCGGCTTGGAAAAGAAAAAAAACCAAAATGTAGATTGAATATTGTTTTAATGCAAACAATATTCAAAATGCAATGACGATTAAACGATTCGCATTTATTGAGAGAACCGTAAAAGTTAATCCATAGGTCGTAAAGTTAAGCGATTCATACTTTACATCGTGAATACAAGTATGCATGTATATTTCTGATTGAAACTTACCTAATCGATACCACTCGTCCGTATTTCCCGTCTCTGCTCTAGCGGAGTTCAATGCGTTGCGAATCGCAATCGGAATTACGCAACTCATATCAAGCGGTGGTTCACCGGTTGCTGTAGAAATAAACTTATAGTTACTCGACGATCGATCCTTTATTATTTTTAGATTCACGATTTTCGTAGGGTAAATGGATTTGTTTATATTTTTATTACATTTCTTTTTACTTTGTTTAAGCTTAATTAAATTATGAATTTTTTTAAATATAAATTTCTTAAAAACTTATATTATATTAGTTTTACGCTTTGAAAGTTTTACTTTAAACGATTTTGTTTAAAGAGTTATTTAAAAATTTCTAAATAGTCATGCAAATATGTCAGAAAATATTTCATCTTTATGGTAAAGATTAAAAAAAAATAGAAAAATTCACATAGATCACTTGCAAACTCGCCTTTTGAACGAAGTACACCGAATGTGTTAACCGAGTTCTTACGTAAAGATACACGAAAGTCCTCAGGGATATCCTTTGCTCCTGGCGGTTTATAATTCTATAATATAAATACAATATTTTATTTAAATTACTTAATTATTTATATTCAAGGTGTGTAATATCATCGAAACAAGAATTTCCTCTTGAAATTCTATCGAGATTCAAAAATTACATACCCATGTTCTATCACTCGTTAATACTCCTGTTTTCGGATCGTATATTAAATCCTCAGATGTCCAGCATCCCACTCCCATTACAAAAGCTCCCTCTACCTGACCGACATCAATCTCCGGATTCAAGCTTATACCTGCATCTTCCATCAAGTCGACCCTTCTGATAATGTGCTGTCCAGTCAGAACATCGATCTCCACTTCGGCGATGGTGACGCCGTAAATATTGTAATTCTTGAGCGTATCATCCTGCATCGTACCATACCTGCCGAGGCGTAATGAATAATTAGTTACAATTATCGCGATTACTTTGTTTGCTCTGTAGGACAAACAAAATATTTAAAATCATTTATTTATTAAAATCAAACGGAAACATTATAATGACTGCGTTGTTTAACTTTACGGGAAATGAGGTGAAATATTTAAACTTTACAAATTTTGAAAATATCTTTAAATACTTTTTGGTAATTTGTGTGATATGATGTTTTATTGTTAGTAATTAGGGTAAATATCTTAACGACATTTACGTATGCTGTGCAATCAAATTAATATCTCTTTGATACGCCGTGAAAACAAGCTCCTTCCAACTCGGATTATTCATTTCTTTTCTTATCGGTTCGAGTCTCTTCAAAATTTTGTTGCATGCCTGAATCGTCGCCTGAAATTAACACACCAATCGATAATATTAATTAATGCAGTTTCATGTGTACATTGCATCATTTTTTAATATGTTTTCGTGTAATGTTTTCTTACATATGCACAACTCTCACTAGTGAAACTGGATGCGGTAGCAAAATTGTTGGGCGTTACTATAGTGTTGGATATTTTAACATTGACTAATTCTACATCAATTCCCAAAGTGTAAGCAGCTACTTGAGCAATCTAAAATAAATATTATTTTTATGTAAATAGACATAGTAAAGTGTAATACTACACAATTTGCTACAAAGACGAGATAATTAATTTAGATATTGCATATGACAATCAGAATAAAGCAGTCTTTAAAAATTATTTAAATAATATCAAGAACGTTATATTTTGCTTCGACATTTTTATCATTTACTTACATTTAATTATATATATTAATTATTATAATGCATGAATTTTTAAAAAGACTGTGAAATCTATCATTAAATAAGTGATATTTATTTAAGATAAAATTATATTATATCATTTTTTTACGTGAATAAATTAATTAAAATTCGAAATTTTATCGTGCATTTAGATAGGAAATAGAGAAAATTAAAAAATTAAATTTCAAGTTTCAACTTTTCTAATCTAAATTAGGTTTTCAATTTTATTAAAATATTATTCTTCTCAGTGAGTCTCTTCGTTCATTAATTTATTGAAAAATAATCTTTCTCGAAGAATAAAATGCTTAGGATACTTAAGTAATTTCGATTTACAACGTCGCGTACCTTTGTATTTATACCTTGGCCACATTCTATCCCACCGTGCGTTACGCAAACGGTGCCATCGCGTGCAAAAACTGATACCAAAGCGCTAAATTGTCCATAATATTCCATGGCAAAAGTCATTGTCACCAGGGCGATTCCCTTTTTCTTCCAGCGATTTTCGCTGTTAAATATCTCAACGGCTCGCTTCCGCATCTCGTAATCAGCCGATTTCGACAAATCTTTTATCATGACTTCTAACACGGCCCTATTCACATCTGTCATATTCGCCAATCTGACCTGTATCGGATCCTTTTTCGTCACTCTCGCAATGTGCTCCATTATATGTTCCATCATGCCCACCGCTTCCATAGACGATAGCCCCCGACATACCGTATTTGATGGTATATCAGTTCGCACATCATAACCATTGAATGTCCATCTATCGATTGCATAACAGCCCCTAAATGATCAATCATCAATCGTAAATTATAAGTGAAATCAAGTGTAGACCAACTAAAGATATTAATATAAAATAATATATTTCTTATCTATTTCAAATCTATTTTCTTCAAAAATTTACCTTTATACAACTTTAAGAAATTACTTTTTATTATATTCAAGTAAAATATTTATTTTAATTAATGCCAATATCATAATATTTAGTCTCTCTCTCTCTCTCTGTTAAGTTTTACACAAAATTTTTAACAAAAATTTAATATCGGATTTACTTTAACATCTATGTAAGAAACTTTACAAAATTTGAAGCAACATGAAAATAGATTAAGAATTTTTTATTAAATTTTAAGATATTGATATCTTTAAGGTACGAATCCAGCAAATTAACATTGGAGTAATATTTATGGCAATCATAAGAAAGAAGATATTTTTTATACTACTGTAATGTTAAGTACGCTAGATACGTACTTGCTCAGAAACTTAAATGTTTCTGCAGCGTAGGGATTATTATAATTACAACCATTGTTAGACCAGTGTTTAAGATTGAGATATTGTATAACGCCATTGTCATCCACTCCGACCTCGTATTTTTGGCGTGTAGGATTTCTCTTGCCCTGAAATTGCATATTACTCTCGATTGTCATAACGAATCGTGCTGGGCGATTCAATTTGTAACATACTAATGCACAGGCACATGAGACTTGCACATTGCGTATGGCTTTTCCTCCATATCCACCACCGATTCGTCTCACATAGACATTGATACTACGAAAATTAAATTTATCATTTATCTATTTATACCATTTATTTATTATCATACCAGTTTAATTTTACAAATCACATTTCTGTCAACTTTTATTAACTAATTTCTTTATAGGGAAAATAATGATATACAATTTCCAAGTTTTATTTTGAATAATCTATTTCTTTAACTACACGATCAATCAATTTTGTAGATCAATATGAAATTTTTAATAATATAAACTTTTGACATCAAGTATTATAAGTATAATGGAATATTCTTATGAGAATCTATTTTGAGAAAGTATTTTGGTACAACTCATCATTGTAAATCATTTTTCCCAAAACGGTCAAGAAATTAATGAGTTACTTATTATTATGAGTTACCTGTTATATCTAACATTGAGCACATCCGCGATCGCTACTTGATTGAGATCCATCCATTGCGTGGATGAATAGACGTCCATACCATCCTCCTTGGGGACGCATACGCAGGATTGGGTCTCCATTGTGTAGTGATATTGGCCGCCGCATTCAAAGACGCCTTTTATTTCCCGTTTAACATTTTCTCCTAGTAGAGTGGGAAATAAATTTCACGTTTCAATCTTTTTTTACTCTCTTTTACGTCTCTGATAATTTAATATAAATTTTCACCCTTCTCTTTCGCCGGAACGTTGACGCTATTCCTGAATCTGGTATTATCTCCCGATGCGAATGCATCCTCAATGCTTATCACCGGCTTTCTACTCAATGACTCGCTGTAGTTAATTTTCACCAATTTCGCGGCTTCGTTCGCCAAATTATGCGTCTCCGCTACGATCACACCGACCGGCTGACCAGCATAGAGAACGTCCCCTTCGGCAAAGAGCAATTCGTCCTCCATTAAGGTGCAGAAATTATGGGCAGCTGAGATGCATAGATTCTTGCCGGGTATGTCCTTGGCACCATAGAACGCTATCACACCCTTCATAGCAAGGGCCTTGCTTACATCTATATTGGAAATCTTGCCGTTACTGATTTCCGTGAGGACAAAAGCGCAAAACACTTCTCGAGGATATGGGGGCAGATCGTTGCAATATTCGGCCTCTCCTGATGTCTGCTGGATAGCCTCTAACTTTGATATAGGTTTATTCACCGGCCACACAGTCTTATCCGTGTCATAGTTCTGCGTGCCTAAGATATTTTACGTGCACGTATTTTACGTGATTAGATTAGCTAATTAAAATATCTTACAAATTTATTGAAACTCAATTCGTCTAGATCAAAACAGGTATATTTCTCTATCTAAAACAGGTATATTTCTCTAAGATTATTTCGTTAAGTTAATAAAAATAGTAAAAATATCAATGTGAAGTTATTTCGAAATTTTGAGAAATGCTCATAAGTCAATAATCAATAAAACATGTAGATCTTTTTAATTGTTATAAGTTGTAGATGAGAAGACAATAAAAAGAAACTCAATGGTGTGTGTGTGTGTGTGTGTGTGTGTGTGTGTGTGTGTGTGTGTGTGTGTGTGTGTGTGTGTGTGTGTGTGTGTGTGTGTGTGTGTGTGTGTGTGAAAGAAATATTTTAAATATTTAAAAAATATAAACATATGTCTTAAAAGATTTAGTGGATACCCGAAGATAGACTTCGTTTTAATAAGGAACCTCCGCTACGAAATCTAGGATTCATGTCCTCCGGTTTGATGCTCAATACAAATTTATAGAATAATCCTTCTGCTAGAGTCTTGCGAAATTCGGGCGAATAGTCCGGCAGTACAAAGTCAGGATGCAGTTCATCGTGCAATATTTCCAAAGCAATCTTCAGCACTTGGTTGTCAAGGATACATTTACCCATAAACCAATTTTCCGTGTTCTTCGCGTGTAAGAAATGTTTGTTGATGCCATCGAAGATGATATTAGGTCTCTCCAACACCTTTGCGTGAAACGTTACGAATATTCCAAATAATTAACGATGTGTAATGTGAATAATGCGAAAAAAATTTTGTTACCCTGCCCCTGCCGTCGAGTTTGAAAAGGAAGCCTGCGTTGACGTGACCACGAGCGTTCTGAGCTCTAGGCATAATCTTGTAGGATCTGTATTCATATTCATCGGATAGTGGCGGCAACACGACACTATAAATGAGTTTATGATTCATGTCGGCTTTTAAAAATTCCGACAGCCACATATTATGCTTTCTGTTGGGTGCGTCGAGGATATATATTTGAGTACCAACGGTCTCTAATATTAAAAATATATCTGACGGAAATTCGTTGTGCTCGTGCTTGATCATCAGGTTGCCGGCGATGGTGCCGATGTTTCGCACTGGCACGTGCGCGACCAGATCAATGTGCTCAGCCAAGTGACGTAAATATTTAAATTTGGCATCAGACGAGTACTTTTGAAAGGTTTCCATCATCACTCTAAGAGATACATTTCCGCCTAGGGTCAAGTTCTCATCGGTTTTTTGGATGTGACACAGATCCGGGACGTCGTTTATATCGATGTAGAGATCCTTTTTGCTTGTGCGATAAATACCTGCAAAAGCAATTTTTCGATATTGTGTACACTAAATTTTATATCTTTATATCGTTATAATAATTGGTATTACAATAATATAATATTTTTATAGAATATTTGAAATTATATTTTAAACTTTATTTTAATATTGATATTTGAATTTTTTATAACGGATTATTAAAGGCACTATTAATTTAATTAAGAATTAATTAGAACTAAGAATTTTTAATATATTTCAATATATTTAAATATTAAAAGATAAAAGAAGCAAAACCTTTGTACATATCGACTCCATATAAATAACAAAAATAGAAATATCAATACATTTTCAATTTAATATTAAAATTTTATATTTTAAAATGAATATTTATTTTAATAGAAAAAGAAAAAGGATTTTAATTAATTTTTCAAGTAAATGAGCAATAAGCATTGCATATGTTTTAAATGTATTTTTAATATTAACTGCAATGTATGTGTCCTTTAAATAAATGAACATTACCATGAGCCGTATTTCCTCCATTTAATATATAAGTGGCATGTGGTTTACGTCGAAATATTTCGAATAAATCATGAATCGAGTAAATTTTGTAGAATTCTCCATCGCCTAACTTTATGTTCAACGTGGTATTTTCATTAAAAAGTTGGCTATCGACACAACTGCCAGAACATGTCTCTCCTTTTTTCACACAGGCTTTGTTCTCGTACAGTTCCTACGTAGTTAGCAATATTATATTAATGATATGTACAAAATTTAGCAGGAATTCTCATATGTAATGATAGTTAAATAATAATAATAATAAGAATAGTAATAGTCAGCACCTCGATATCGCAAATGTTCTTCGTTACTGATGGAGGTGCATCACTAGCAAATTTCTTGAAAGCTTCCAAAATCGGACGATATCCAGTGCATCGACAAATATTTCCACCGAACGAATTTTCGATCTGTCGCATAGTTAACTTTTTGTTTTTCACAAGACTGAAAATTCCAAACAATAAGCGCATCTTTATACAATACCTGAATATTTAATACAAAATATTCATATTCATAACATTCGTTGCTTTATTATAGTGATAAACGATTTTATGCACATTATTTTAATTTATAATTAAATTTTATATTAAACAATTAGTAATTTCAAAGATTTATTAATCAATTTATTTGTTTAAAAATTTTTTAAAGTTATTTTTAATGCGAATGTGTTGTAACGCTAGTTTAAAAAAATTTAATATATACTAAAGAAATGTAAAAGTTTAAATTTTTTAAATGGAAGGCTAAATATTCCTCTAATATGGCAATTTAATTAATTTACTCGTCTGTTACATACCTATATAAATTCATTACCATCCCGGGAGAACAATATCCGCATTGCGAGCCATTTTTTTCAGCAAGCGTAATTTGAATTGAATGATAACCATCCCGTCTGTTACCTAAACCTTCGATTGTGTAAATATCCCATCTACAACATTATTTAATGCACATTAAATATAAAGCAATAGTTAATTAATTTAATAATTATATAAAAAGTTAAATTCAAAACTATATATAGAAAGTTTAATCCATTTCTAGAAGAGCGCTTTCTAGTGTCAAAAAATATATACTCATAATATCGTAATATCGTAATATTATAAGAGACAGATTCTTCTTATTTTTAATAAAAAAAAAAAAAATAAAATTCTATTAGGTAATTTTTGTTAATACACGCGTACCCATCACAAATTAATATCGGCACTAGGCAGGAATTTACAGCCATGATCTCGCCTTTGATTTTCGCAGTTACGATACAGGCGCCACAACCACCCTCGTGGCACATGGCTTTTGTGCCGCGGAGTTTCGCATAATCACGAATATAGACGTTGAGGGATGTGCCAGCTGGTATGCATTCCGATACTGCAAGCGGTTTCACAATTATAAAGTCAATATAGAAATCATAGGAAATATAAGAGATCATTTTTCAAAATATTCCTAAAACTCACTTATCATAAAGCTTATAATTAAAGTTTCAGATTTCAATATAATTTTTTTGCAATTGAATAATCATAGTTATAGTAATTAATAATTAATTTATAAGTTTTATAATTTCTAATATTGTAATTAGATTTTTCTGTTATATGTTATTTGTTATTCTGAAATTAGTTTTATCATCATAAATTATTTCATTTTCCAATTGTATTAAAACATTTTTATTTTTTTAATTATACAGTATATAAATTACACGTGAAGAATACATACCGATATATGGTACTTCATTAATTGTAAAATTAATACACTCCCTTTTATTTCTGAAATTAAATATAAATTATCTTGAATAGCATTTTAAAATTATTATCGACTTTGAAATATAGATCAATTTTTCTAAGAATGTTTTCTGTACATTTTATGTTATACTATACAATATGAAGAAATAAATGGATTACGAATTTATTTTAGAACGTTTTACACTTTTACGTTTAAAAAAGTGAAGGTTTCACGATTTCCAAATTTACAACGAAACTTTGTATTAGTTGATTGTTTATGCTGCCTATATTGTAACAGTTTTTATATAAGATTATACATCTTTAAGTGATCCTTAATGGTGGCGAAGACTTACTTTCTTATAGTTTGCATCGTCTTCTTATTACGTACGCAGAGTTTAAAGTGTCGAAAGAAAGCTTAATTAAAATCTTTCAACGAGAGATCCTTTTAACAAGAGATAGAAATCATAGTTGCACAGATTATCTTTTTTACAAATAATAGAACACGTCTATCTCGCGCACCGTCTATTCCCAAAAGAACGAGAACACCATTGCATTCTATTGCAAAACCAGGAAGGCTAAATTTGATCAGATAGACCGCGTACTTTCAAGTCTTAATTTACAACGCGTAACAAATTTATTCGTACTGATAAATACCGATGTAATAGAAATTTTTTGCCAATGTTCTCAGGTTTTTATACTTGAAACTTGTAGCAGCATTTTCTCAATATAATTAATGATTGTGTAAGAACGTCAATTTTCTGATATGATAAGAGTCTATTTATTTCAATAATTACACAAAAATTGCGTTGATAACAAAATGATTTAGATAACAGATGTAGAATTATCAAATTTTCAAGCGACCTACTTTGTATTGATAAAATTCATTTTTGAAATTGAATGTAAATGCATTTTACTTGTATAATTAAGGAAGTACAAGCGATTACTTGCGGGACGAGAAGGATACATCTATCTTTATGCAATATCTAATGAAAATCTTTTAACAATAAGAACAACTTAACTTAAAAAAAAGATAACATTGAGCGCAAAGTTTCAATTTTTGATAATATTCTAGTATTAGGAAATAAAAATAATTTAATATTTCAATGATTATCTATCACTTGGTAATTTTACATTTCTAAAAATGGGATTAAAGATATATATAAAAAAATAGAACAATTTTAAATATTTTTTATTTTATCTATTTTATAAGACTTTAAAGGTATTACTTAACAGAATGTATATTTAGACTAATGGATATTATCATTACATGTATATTTTAGCTAACAATTGCCATTGCAAAAACTATGTTCTTATCTTTTGGAATACCTGCACGAACGAATTAATCGCCAGATGGGAGAATTCATGCGCGCTCAAAAATTCTCTATTGCGTTTAATATTTTCGCTATAAAATTTTTCGCAACAAACATAAAATATTCTATTCTTTTTTTTATGTTTAAATATCATGTATCAATGTAAATACAAAAATCGTAAGTAAATGCCACATAATTAGTAAGAAAGGCTAAATGTTTCTTGAATTTGTTTAATATATCAAAAAATTAAAAGATTAACAAATGATAACAATCCTAACCAAGTAATATGTGTATTATCTATTTGCTATCATTGTTATATGATATGTTATAGATTCTCTCTAATAATTGAATCTACTAATTGAAATATTTTGATTCTGTCATTAAACCATAAAACATTAGCAAAATGTGAATAAAAACGTTATCTTATTATAAGATTTTTAAATTTCTTATGCGCATGTGAGAAATAAGCGATTATTCAAATGTGAAAGTTAATAAAAAGTTTCCAATCTTATCCTTTGATCGAAGAAAATCAACTTCGTTAGGCGTATTTTTGCGCAAAGACATGCGAAAGTCCTCAGGAATATCCTTTGCTCCTGGCGGTTTATAATTCTACGATAAAAATGGAATATTTTGATAATTTCAGCAGATTTATTTAAAATAATCTTGACAAATCGAAACAATTATATCTTTACGATATTAACTTTATCAAAACTGAGTGAAGATCACGTACCCACGTTCTATTCATCAATGCTCCTATTTCAGAATCGTACACCAAATCCTCGGATGTCCAGTATCCTATTCCCATCATGAAAGCTCCCTCCACCTGACCGATGTCGATTTCTGGATTCAAGCTTATACCGGCGTCATCAAATCGACTCTTCTGATAATATGCTCCAATTAACATTATCGCTCTCCTCCTTGGCGATGGTGACGCCGTAAATGCCATAAGGCTTGATCGTATCGTCTTGCGTGATCGCGAACCTAAAGTGATAAATATAATGAATAATAATTAACGCAGTATGTGACGACAAAAGACTTGTGTCTTTTCTCACTCCATACAAATACACAATTCGAAGCTTTTTGTTAAATTAAATTGATAGTCTAGTACCAATGTTGTTCAAAATCAACGAGAAAACGTGAAGAAAATATTTAAACTGACTTTTCATAGTTCTTCCAATTATTACAAAAAATATGATTATTTTTTCTAAATAAAAAATAACGGGAATATTTTTGGAGAGATGTCGAGTGTTCAATAAATATACGTTTGAATAACAGCTGCATGACAGTTTTAATATTTTATTAGTATATTGAATTTTATTTTTATTAGCATATTGAATTTAATAATTATGATAATTATGAATTAAATATTAATGCTTACATATAACGCGCGCATAGGTCAACATCTTTTAGATACGCTGCAAGTTCCCGCCAGTTCGGATTGTTCATTTCATTTTTTTTTTATCGGTTCAAGTCTTTTCACTTGTTACAAGCCTGTTGTTTGTTTACAAGACTTGTTTACAAGCCTGAATCGTAGCCTAAATCAAACGCGATCACTAATTTTATTCATCAATTTAACATTATGTATGAAACGTATTGTTTTTTGAAACGTGCGTTTCAGCGCAAATTAAATTAATTTATTACGTATGTGCAAGAATCACTAGCAACACTGCCTCCGGTAACCGAATTGTTCGGTGTTATTAAATTATTGCTTGGTTTCACAATGACTAAATTCAAATCGATTCCCAAAGTATACGCAGCCACTTGAGCAACCTAAACTAATTTATTCCTTCTACGTAAATAGAAAGAATTAAAATACAATTATTTAATTAATACACAATTCGAAGCTTTTTGTTAAATTAAATTGATAGTCTAGTACCAATGTTGTTCAAAATCAACGAGAAAACGTGAAGAAAATATTTAAACTGACTTTTCATAGTCTTCCAATTATTACAAAAAATATGATTATTTTTTTCTAAATAAAAAAATAACGGGAATATTTAACGGGCATAACATTATTTTATGTTTATGATACAAAATGAATTACTTAATTTACTGTCCATATCATATAATACATTGATAAATATTCAATAAAATTGTTAATTCTCAATATAAATTATTTAAAACATTGTATTGAAGCGTTAAGATTATGAATTAGAAAAAATGATTTCTATTCAGAGCTATATCTTGGTGTTTATACCTTGGCCACATTCAATTCCACCATGCAAACCGTACCGTCCCGAGCGCAAATCGACACCATAACCATTAAATTGATCCCGAGTAAACGAACGAGTAATTTATCGGCACAATGCCTTTTTTCTCTCAGCGATTCTCATTGTTAAACGTCTCAACGGCTCTCTTCCGCATTTCATAATTGGCCGATTTTGACAAATCTTTTATCATCAGCTCTAACACGGCCTTATGCACGTCGTTCATATTGGCTAATCTGATCTGTAATGGATCTTTCTTTGTCACTCTCGCAATATGCTCCATTATGTTCTCGATCATAGCTATTAATTCGGTGGATCCCGGTGCTCGACAACATGTGTTTGACGATACATCCGTTCGCATCTCAAATCCATTCAATGACCAACTGTTGCTCATGTAACAGCTGTTAAAGATCAGTAATAATTGTTAACAAACACGAAAAATTAACAAGGTTAATATAATGTTAAACATTCTGATATTAAACTTGATCTGATGATATTTTTTTCTTAATCAAACATAAATATCTCTCTATTGTAACAAAAAGGAAAAGATGCCTGTAATAATCATATATCTTCAACAATCTTTCACATTTTACATTACATTTTCGTCGTAAATACAAAAACTCTTGTTTAAAAATGTATGAGTGTATATTTGTCGCGTAACTTAAGACTAACGATTTAATACATATGTATTTTCTTACGTTCAAAAATTCTCTTTAACTAAATAAAAAAATGAATAAAAAGAACAATTCCTCTTTATTTTTGAAAAATTCTTAAATTAAAATCTATTTCAAATTTCATTGGAAATAACAAATATATTAACAGCTGCGATATTTTCATTTTATATGTTTATTTCTTATACTGCTATACTTTTGACACATACCTGCCCATATGTAGCTGCACGAGAAAAGCATGGGCATCATTGTAATTAGAGACAGCATTGCTCCAATGTTTCGAATCGAGGTATTAAATAACTTCTTCGTCATTTATCTCGATTTCATATTCTTGTCGCACAGAGATTCTTTTATCTTGTGACTGCATATTGTTCTCGATCGTCGTGACAAATCGCGCTGGACGGTTCAGTTTATGACATACCAATGCACCGGAACATGAAATTTGCGTGAGATTTTCCCTCCATATCCACCGCCGATTGGCCTCACGTGTAAATTAATGCTGTGAAAATTAAATTCACGCGATCATTGTGCTAACTTAATTTTGCAAAACATTTTGCAACGCACTTCCGTCGTTCTCTTTCGATTTATCTTCTTATAGAAAAGATCCTGTCTACTTCTAATTTCATTTCAAACTTTTTCATTAAATTTATTTTTTTTTATTATTATTAATTCTATTCGCTTTTATCGTTCTGCAGATTATTAAATTACTATTATTAAATTTTCGATAATAGGAATTTTTTGTAGGAATTATTACAATTTAATTTATATCAGTAAGATATTCTAGCAACTTAAATCGTATTATCGCTATTAGATTAATGATACTCTCCTCAAGACACTGCAGAGATTAATGAGTTACCTATTATTCTTAACATTAAGCACATTCCCGATCGATATTTGGGTGAGGTCCATCCATTGCGCGGATGATGGATAAAACATCTATACTATCCTCCGTGGGAATGCACACGCAAGACTCAGTCTCTCCATTGTATGTAATGATATTGACTGTCGCATTGGAAAACTCCTTTTATCGTCTGTTTAACATTCTTTCCTGTAATAGAAAAATCGCCACACTTTATCATATTGTTTTTGTTCACTTCTTGTTACTAGTAACAGCCGTTTCACAGATTACAGTTATTCATATGATATCCATAATCATTCGGATGTACGAATGATAATGAGTGGAAATAACGAGATAAATAAATAAGATGATCTATGCTTGTTATTCTTTAAGAAAATTCTTTACGGTACAGAACTTTTTTTTTAATAATATAAACAACATTTTATCTGTACTCCAAGAATGTTGTAACATTGCTGCAAAATTTTTTATATGCGCTGTCTGAATTTTATCGTGAAGAACATGACGCAGTAGAACGCTCTTTATATTTTGATGACTTTATATTTTGATGCTAAAAATGCATCTGTATTTCAACTTAAACTTTTGAATTTACGTTATAAATAAATATTAATTTTTATACAAACATTTAAATTTAAAAAAAAGCTGGATGAGAATTTTATTAATATTCTATTTATATTTTATTAATATTCTATCATGATAAATCATAAATATTGTATTAAAATTATATTTATTGTTCTCATTTAATGAAAATATCTTAATAAAATCTGTAAAGGATAGAAAAATATCTAAAAAAATATATATACATTGCATACGTATTTTTTTATTCTTATGTAACTGAAAGAAAATTACCATGTGCCATGTTTCCTCCATTTAATATATATGTTGCACTTGGTTTCTCTCGAAATATCGCGAATAGATCTTCGGTCGAATAAATAAACTTTATAGAATTCCGCATCTGCGAGTTTTATATCCAAAGTAATATTTTCATTGGAGAGATATTTATTGGAACATTTGCCTTTACACAGCATTCCGCTTTTCGGGCCTTTACACAGCATTCCGCTTTTCGGGCTTTTAATCTTGTAAAGCTCCTACGAAATGCACTATTGTATTTTTCATGATATTTAAATAATGCTATAAAAGGCTTTATTTGATAATAACGAAATAGTTACAATTGAAGAATTTTGTATAAAAACAGGATATTATTTCAGTAATGTAAAACTCGAGAATATAAAAATAATAACGCGATAAAATAAAACTTTTTTCTCGAATTGTGCACCTCGATATCGCGAATATCCTTCGCCAATGTTGGAGGTGCGTCGCTAGCAAATCCCTTAAAGGTTGACGAAGGTCGACGAAGTGAAGTAAATTGATTGAGATAAAAGATTTAACATATAAAATATTTTTTAATGTGAATAAATACATAAAATGACGTGAAGTGAATATCCTTAATAATTTTTTATTATAAAATAAATTTTCGAATATAATTTTTTGATTGTTTAATGCCTGCATACCCATCGCACATTAATATTGATACGAGACAGGAGTTTACAACCATGGTTTCGCCTTTAATTTCCGCCGCCACGATACAAACATCACAATCACTCTCGTGGCACATGGCTTTTGTACCGCAAAGTTTTGCATAATCGCGTATGTAAACGTTGAGAGACGTGTCAGATGGTATGCATCTGTACTGCAAGCGATTATGTCATAAACTGGATATGGGAGTTGTAACTTTCTCCATAGATATTATCATCTTTTTCTTATTTGAAAAAAAAAATTAAGAATCTCGCTCTCACAATTAAAGTTTTATGATCCAATTACAACTTCTATCATAATATATTTAACTTTTCGCAATTAAGTACTTTTTGTTGTTAATAGGTTTTCCATAACAAAATTTAGATTTTTATAATATATTTAAATTTCGAAATTTTTTACCGTCATAAATCATTTCGCTTTTTAATGAAGCTAAAAAATTTTTCATTTTCTTAGTTACGCAATCTAAATTGCATACAAAGAATACATATCGACACTCCCCATTAACCATAAAGTTAATGCATTTTCTTTTATTTCTGCAATTCAATATGAATTAAATTGAATGTGGCACTTTAAAATTATTATTAACTGACATATTATTATTAACTGAGATCAAGTTTCCTATAAATGGCTTTAAAATTTTTCTTTTTAACCATCATATTGAAATATATGACGATTGCCAAATTTACAAAATTAAATCTATCATTAGTTGATTATTTATCACATCTTGTGATAATTTTGTATATTATAAATTTTTAATAACAATTTTAAAAACTTACTCCACTGTTGTTTGAATTGTTAATTTGTTAATAATGCATGCGTAATTTCTTATCCTCTAATACACACAGTTTCTGAACTATTCAATCTTTGTAGGAGCATCTTGTGAATTAATAATGCTTATCGGCGAACACATGATTCATGCCATGTTTGCGCGTAATGAATTTAGTCGAAGGAACTACTTCGGCGACAAGATTACTTCGTGTATTTATACACGAGCCACCGAGTTGAGCAACACAATTATCATATTCTAATAACTTCAACGATTAATTGATTTTTCTTATTGGGCTCAAGAATAATTCGGAATTTTAGAATGTGTCTTCATTTTTAATTTTAAAAACTATTTCGTTTTAAAAAAGATAAAAATAAAAATATATATACTGCATTGTAGTTCACATTATTGCTAAGTAGTATGTACATAATTTCTCATTTATCATATGGATATAAATAAATATGGAATATAAATATGGAATAAATATGGATATAAATATGGAAATAGTTCTAATAATCGGTCTTTGTAGAAACATTTAATGATATGTTGGAAAGACCATAATTTTCTGATACTGTCAATATTTCTTGCTGGAACGATTACAAAGATTACGATGACATTATTATGATGATATAATTATGATGATAAAAATGTAAGACGATTCAATTATGAGTCATTTAAAATTAAGATAACTTATATTTATTAAAGTAAATTTATTTTGTTATTTTAAAGAAAAAGCAGTTTAAAAGTAACTTGATTACAACAACAGGCGCATTATACTTGTTTTATTTTTTTATCGAGTATTTTTGTTATTACAAAAAATTATATTCTTATCAAATTATATATAAATTTTTATCGATAAAAATTACAAAAATAAAATATATATAGCGTTATAAAAAAAAAAATACTGTAAAATACTATAAAAACGGCACGAGAATACTGTAATATATACATATAGGTAAAAGAATTAATTCTATATAAAGGAATTAATAAAGGAATTAATAATTATTTATTTTTCAATTATTATTCACAATTTACATTATACTTTAGATTATATTATTTTGATGCCAATTATATAAATACTAAAGCAATATTTATAAGATTAATAAATTAATAATTAGTAAAACTAATAATAAGTATATAAAGTATTAATGGATTGCTATAAAGAAATATAGTAAAAATATTTATTACAAGACAAAAATTGTATCTTAATACATAAACAACAATGTGTATATTGTGCTCTCATCATTATCCTAAAAATTCTTGTATTTGCAAAACGTGGATGTAGATTATCTTGTACAGAATCTCTAAACTTATTCTATAGTTAAATAGAGTGAGGGATAATAGGAGAATTTAATTTAAATGTCGATTTATTCGCAAATCTCACTTTTGTTCTCAGAGCACCATATTATCCTTGCTGGTTAAACTGTTCAGAAGTATACGTTCGTTGGTGTACGGTGCATCTGCAAAAATTTATGAGCGACGAATAATTAAGTGTATATAAATCATAATATATTTTACAAGAAAATTTATTGTAAAGTACAAAAAGAATCAGGTATCTAATTTTATAGCAAAGAACAATTCACACTTAATGTTGTAAAAAAAAATGTGAGAAATTGACAAATTTCACAATTTTGAAAGATATCTTCTCTATATTATTAAATATAAAAATATATTCTTTGCAGTTTTTGCCTAACACTTACCTAGTTGATACCATGTATCTTTATTTCCCGCATCCGCTCTAGCGGAATTCAACGCGTTACGGATCGCAATCGGAATTACACAACTCATAGCAAGCGGTGGTTCACCGGTTGCTGCAAATAAAATTTTACAATTAATAGGCAATTAATTTTTAAATTTTTTTAGATCATGTTTCTTATGATATATATAATTATAAATTCTACTTACCAGAGAAGAATTGTAAATTTTTAAATTTTGCGATTACAAAATATCGAACTCTTTTCAATTAAAATATTAGTCGAAACGTAAATATTAAATTTTATATGTTTACAAAAACATTATCTAAAAGTTCTTAAATTATCTGCATAAAAAAATATCTTGTTTTCTGGAATAAAGATTTGGTACGTAGGATTTTCGACCTCACCTTTTGAACGAAGTACACCGACCGTGTTAACCGAGTTCTTTCGCAAGGATACACGGAAGTCCTCAGGAATATCCTTCACTCCTGGTGGTTTATAGTTCTGCAATGAAAAGTAGAGTGCTTAAAATAATTTAATCAAGTACCTATGTACTGTCGAGAACAATTTTGGTGGCTCGAAGCGTCGAATTGCGTCTTCGCGATATTAACTTGACCAGAACTCAGTGAAGATCACGTACCCACGTTCTGTCATTCGTCAACGCTCCTGTTTTAGGATCGTACACCAAATCCTCGGATGTCCAATATCCTATTCCCATCACAAAAGCTCCCTCTACCTGACCGACATCGATTTCCGGACTCAAACTTATACCGGCGTCTTCCATCAAGTCGACTCTTCTAATAATATGCTGGCCGGTTAATAGATCAATCTCGACCTCGGCAATAGTGACACCGTAAATATTATAAGCCTTGAGCGTATCGTCGTGTGTGGGCACGTACCTATAGTAACGAATAATAATTAATGAATTAAAGTGACGAATAATAATTAATTACGTGACAAATTGAAAAATTTGCATCTCTTCTTACTTTATAAATACACAATGTAATTTATAAAAATTAAATTGATAACATTGGTAGTATCAATGTCGTTCAAGTTCAACCAGAAGGAAATTAGCTTTTTATATTCTTCTGATTATAAAAAAAAAAAAAAGAAAAAATATTATTCTTTCCGAATAAAAATCAGATTCTTTTGGAAAGACATCGAAGTCTCATAAATATACATAACGATTGTATGATATATTATGTGTTGTATTAACTATGATTTAATTATGCTTACATATGACGCGCGCATAAATCAATATCCTTTAGATACGCCGCTAAAATAAGTTCCTGCCAGCTCGCATTATTCATTTCCTTTTTTACTGGTTCAAGTCTTTTCAGGATTTGTTTACAACACTGAATGGCGGCCTAAAATCAACCCGACAATTGGTTTTATAAATTAATTAATTAATTAATATTATCTATCGCGTCATCTTTTGAAAACATTGGAAGCAAATTAGATTGAATTCTTACATATGCGCAGGATTCGCTGGCCATACTGCCCCCAGTAACTACGTTGTTCGGCGCTATTATATTATTACTTGGTTTCACAGCAATTAATTCTAAATCGATTCCCAAGGTGTGAGCCACTACTTGGGCAACCTAAAAAGAATATTATTTTTATACAAATATACAGAAAATATCAGCAATTATTTAATGTTATACTCTTATTTATCTTAAAAGATATAAAAGAGCGATTTATGTTTAAACATTAAAATTTAATTTTCTTCCCATTCCGTTTATTATAGTATATTAATATAATAAATATTCAATAGAAGTTATTAATTCTCATATAAAATATGTAAAACGTTTTATTGAATTTAGAATTGGGTTGATAATTTAAATTTAAAAAAATATCTTTACTCGTGGACATACCTTGGTGTTTATACCTTGACCACATTCAATTCCACCGTGCGTTACGCAAACCGTACCGTCCCGAGCGCAGACCGACACCATAGCATTATGTTGTCCCATGTACATAAACGGATACTTCATTGGCACCAGAGCAATGCCTTTCTTTTTCCAGCGATTCTCGTTATTAAAGGTCTCAACTGCTCGCTTTCGGATCTCGTAATCAGCCGATTTCGACAATTCTTTTATCATTGGCTCTAATGCAGCCTTATCCACGTCGTTCATATTCGCCAATTTAATCTTTAGCGGATCCTTTCTCGTTACTCTCGCAATGTGCTCCATTATATTCTCGATCATGCTCACTCCTTCCGTAGATCCTGGCGCTCGGCAATATGTGTTTGACGGTAAATCGGTTCGCACCTCATATCCGGTCATCGACCAACTGTCGTTCATGTAACAGCTGTTAATAATATAATGATCAGCAACAATTAGACGTGAAGAATATTGAATATTTTAACAAACAACATTATTAAAATATAACGTTGTTTTAAAATATTTTAATATTAGATTTGATCCGATGATATTATTTTGCAAAAAAGATATAATGCTTTCAAAAAGATATAATGCAAATTGAAAATTAGTTTACTACATTATGCAATTAAACAATAATTTCTTTTTTAAGAGATTTAATTCACTTTAAACATCATACCTTCTGCTTTACGAAAGATTTCCTAAAAGAGATATTAAAAAATATTTAAAATTTTATTAAATTTTATAGATTTTACCATTTTTCCGACACTTGCCTTCCAATATGATGCAGCACGACAAAGGCATGGGGATCATTGAAATTACAGCCGGAATTGCCCCAGTGTTTTGAATCAAGATATTGAATAACTCCTTCGTCATCTATCCCGATCTCGTATTCTTGTCGCGTAGAAAATCTCTTACCCTGCGATTGCATGTTGCTCTCGATCGTTGTGATAAATCGCGTTGGACGATTCAGTTTATGACAAACTAGTGCACAGGTACATGAGATTAGCGCATTACGCGAGATTTTTGCACCATACCCACCGCCGAGTCGCCTCACATGCACATTGATACTACAAAAATTAAATTCACAGAATTATGTTAATTTTATTTCGCGTTTTACACCGATCTTTTTCAGCTTATTTGTTTTTTTTTTATGAAAAAGATAAAATGTTCCTATTAGAATTTATTTCAAATTTCTACATTGGATTAATTTTTTTATTAATTCGTCTCTATTTTTGCAGATCGTTATTAAATTTTTTATAATATGGATTTTTAATATAGATTATTATATAGTTTAACTTTTCATTCACATCTCACATTTAAATCGTATTATTATTAAATTAATGGTACTCTCTGTAAAAACAGTGAAGAAATTAATATATTACCTATTGTTTTTAACATTAAGCACATTCGCGATCGATATTTGGGTGAGGTCCATCCATTGAGAGGTTGGATAGACGTCCATACCATCCTCTGTAGGAATACATACGCAAGACTGAGTCTCCATAGTGTAATGATATTGGCTGCCGCAATGGAAAACCCCTTTTATCGTTTGTTTAACATTCTTTCCTGAAACAAACGAGTATACTTTACTCTATTGTTTTTATTCACTTCCAGTGCCTAGGAGTAGGTGCCTAGGTGCCTTTTAGCAAATTACAGTTACTTTTACGATGATCACACTCACACCGATAATTTTCTCAAGTTCACAATTTAAAGTTAACAATTTTTAATTGTAGATAAATTGAAGATAATCTTTCATTTTATCTTCAATTTATTATATTCTTTCGTTTTATTATATATTTTTTTTTTCTTTATCTCGATTCTCAATTTCTACCTTTCTTTTTCGCCGGAATATTTATGCTGTTCATGAATCTGGTATCGTCCTTCGTAGCGAGCGCATCCTCGATGCTTATCACTGGCTTCTTTTTCAACGTTTCGCTATATTTGATCTCTACCAATTTTGCGGCTTCGTTGGCCAAATTATGCGTCTCGGCAGCAATGACGCCGACCGGTTGACCGGCATAGAGAACATCTTTTTCAGCGAACAATAACTCATCGTTTATTAACATCATCAATTGGCTGGACGCTGAGATACATAAATTTTTGCCGGGTATATCTTTGGCTGTGAAAAACGCCACTACTCCCTTCATAGCAAGTGCCTTGCTCGCATCTATATTTTCGATCTTGCCGTTACCCACTTTCGTAAGAACAAAAGCGCAGAATACTTCTCCAGGATACGGCGGTAGGTCGTTGCAATATTGAGCCTCGCCTGACGTTTGTTGGATCGCCTCCAATTTCATTACAGGTTTATTCACCGGCCACACGTTCTTGTCAGTGTCATAATCCTGCGTACCTGGAGAGTGATCAGATTTCTTTACGCACGATTAAACTTTTTTATAATATATATTTCAAAAGTAGAGCATATTTAATATCCAAGATATGGGATGTATCTTTTAAATATATATTTTGATGTATATATTTTAACATAATCTTTAATATGTATTTTAATCTTTAATGTTTATATTTTTTTAATTCTCAAAATTCTCTTACCAAAATAGTTGCGATGTCTATTTAAAAATCGCGATTTTAGGTTCATAAATATGAAATGAAATTTTTTACCTCATCACTATTAAAAGACTAAAATAAATTGCAATCTTGGAGGATGCAGGAATACCTAAAGGATAAAGGATATGCTCCCAGAAACCTGTTACATGAGTCATTTTACCTGAAGAGAGACCTCGTTTTAATATCGAACCACCGCTTCGTAGTTTGGAATTTATGTTGTCCGGCTTAATGCTCAATACAAATTTATAGAATAATCCTTCGGCAAGAGTCTTGCGAAATTCCGGGGAATAGTCCGGCAACACATGGTCTGGTTGTAATTCATTATGCAATGTTTCCAAGGCGGTCTTCAGCACTTGCTTGTCGAGGATGGATTTACCCACCAACAGTTGTTCCGTATTCTTCGCGTGTAAAAAATGCTCGTTGATACCGCCGAAGATGATGTTAGGCTTCTCTAGTACCTTCTCGTGAAATATTACGAATACGCCGTATGAATAATTAATCACAACGTAATCTGAATAATGAGAAAGGATTTCCGTTACCTTGCCGCCGCCGTCGAGTTTGAAAAGGAAGCCGGCGTTGACGTGAGCGTGGGCGTTTTGAGCTCTGGGCATGATTTTATAGGATCTGTACTCGTAATCGTCGGACAACGACGGCAGTACCACGCTATAAATGATCCTGTGGCGCATGTCCGTCTTCAAGAATTCCTGCAGCATCATGCTTTTCTTGCGGTCGGGTGCCTCAAGGATGTGTACCTGAGTACCGGCGGTCTCCAGCATCAAAAACAAATCCGACGGAAATTCATGGTGCGCGTGCTTGATCATCAAGTTCCCGGCGATGCTGCCGATATTGCGCACGGGCACGCTAGCGATCAGATCGATATGATCGGCCAAGTGATGTAAGTACTTGAATCCGGTCTCGGACGACAATTTCTGAAAGGTCTCCATCGCCGTGGTAAGAGACACACCTCCGCCCAAGGTTAGAGTCTCGTTGGTTTTTTCGATGCGCCGCAGGTCCGGGATGTCATTAATGTCGATGCGGAGATCATTTTTACCCACCCGATAAACGCCTATAAATAATTTTCTTTCAGTATCATGTACTTTTTAAATCTAACCACTCCACTATTTAATGTTTGTCGTTTTTAACTGAAATTAAAAAACGTAATTTATTTTATATAATTTTACTTCAAAACGGCATGTCTGACGTCACACGAAATTATTATTACATTCAAGAGAAATAACGTGAATAATAAACGTATAAAACATTTTATGTACGATTTATTTTTTAACGCTTTTAACGCTTTTAATTTAATTTTAGAGAAGATGACATAGAAAAACTCTCTTTGTGAATTTTGAAAACCAATAATATATTTATATATTTAAATATTTGAATTTGCGTGAAAATAAATATTAATTTTTAGATACAAAAAAATATACATTTTGAACGTAATAGAAAGCTAGTTAATAAATGCATTATTAATAATGCATTAGGATATGTTACAAACGCTGTAAATTATGCGCTGAAAAATTATGTTTTCATTTATAGAAGGCATAAGGCTATAAAAGTTAAAAAATTACCATGTACATTGCGTACATATTTTTTTTACCGTCTTGTTTTTACATTAGAAGAAAATTACCATGTGCTGTGTTTCCTCCATTTAATATGTACGTTGCGTCGGGTTTCTCTTTAAATATCGCAAATAGATCCTCGATCGAATAAACTTTATAGAATTCCGTATCTTCGAGTTTTATATCCAACGTCGCATTGTTTCCATTAGAGAGATGGTTATTGGAGCATGTACCTTTGCATGGCATTCCATTCTTCGGACAGGTTTTAATTTTGTAGATCTCCTACGATGTATTATTGCATTTGTAATAACATTTAAATGATGTAATATGAGTTTGCCCGATATTAATAAAATGAAGCAGATTTTTGCGTGAAAATGGGATAAAATTCTAATAACATAAAATTCGGGAAAAAATAAAATTTAAATATAAAAATAAAAAAATAAAAATAAAAATAAAAGAAAAATTTTCACGGATAAAATAAAATTTATGCACCTCGATATCGCGAATGTTTTTTGCCAGTGTTGCAGGTGCGTCGCTAGCAAATCCTTTAAACGCATCCAAAATCGGACGATATCCTGTACACCGACAGATATTACTACCGAAGGAATTTTCGATTTCCTGCATCGTTAACTTCTTGTCCTGTATAAGGCTGCAATTTATAACAATAAAGTGCATGTATGCAAATGTTATTCATAGCTCTTTTGTATGCCATACTTAAATGTATGACATACAAATCCTCCTTGTTTCTTTATGCCATTATTCAAAAATTGCAAAAAAATTTATTTGCACCTGATTTTAATTTACGATTTACATCGTTTGTCAGTTTAACAATTTTGATAATTTAATTAATTGTGATAATTTCATTATTTGCCAATTGTTTTCAAGTGATTTCATGAGCTTCTTAGAGGCAAATTTTCAAAAATTTAAATTACGAAATTGATACATGAAATTTTTTTGTAATTTAATTATGAAAAATTTTATATATCGGAAACTTATAATTTATTTAATAATTTATTTAATAAATTTTGTTAATAATTTTATTAATTATTTTATTTTTTTATACACCTATAAAGATTCATAACCATGCCAGGAGAACAGTATCCACATTGCGAGCCATTTTTCCCAGCGAGCGCAGCCTGAATCGAATGATAACCATCGCGTCTATTTCCTATGCCTTCGACCGTGTGAATCACCCATCTGCGAAATTGTAATTTAGTCAGATATTAATTGAAGCTAGTCCGAGGATAAGGATAGAAGAAATTGAATGAATAGATTGGGGGATAGAAACTATTTTAATACATACAAGAATGTATCGTGTTGACGATGTAAGATAAATCGTTATTATTCTTTTAGCGTTAGAAATTTGAGTGTAACTCTTCAAACGTTTTATACATACCCGTCGCAGATTAATATCGGTACAAGGCAGGAATTCACGGACATTGTCTTTCCTCTAATTTCTGCAGCGACGATACAGGCACCACAGCCACCCTCGTGGCACATGGCTTTCGTGCCGCGAAGTTTCGCATAATCGCGAATATAGACGTTGAGGGACGTGTCGGGCGGTATGTTTCCCGATACTAAAAGCGAAATGACATGAAATGAAACGAGTGTAAAATCGAAATAATGGTCGTAGCTTAAATAATATAAATGTGAAACACAAGATGTACGAATTTTAATTTCACGATGTTTCAAAAACATTTCATAATTAAATTTTTTCGAACTTAATGTTAAACTTCTACCATCGTAATTAAACTTTCAAAATTAAACGTAATGCGTTTTGTCGTCATATGTGACTCCGTTCTCATAATTAAATTTTATAATTTCTACCTTCCTGTATTCATTTTATTCTGTCATTTATTAGAGTTGTCTTTAATTACAATTTATTTATAAATTTGAAGAATATACATACTTGTATACGGTACTCCGTTTATAGTAAAATTAATGGACATTTTACCATCCCTGTAACGAAACACAAATTAAATTAAATGGAGCTTTATAATTATTTTCAACCGTGGAAACATAATTAAAAATATTTAAGATTTCTTTTTTGTTGGCAATTTTTTAATTGACAATATAATAACTTAGTTAAATAAATAATTTTTATCGTAAAATTCTTATTTTAAAATATATAAATCAATAGAATGTTCGGAAATTGATAATAAAATTATCCTAGATTTTTGTTTATTTGTAAAAGTAAAAGTTGAACTATATTGTACATTAATTCTTAATAGTCGTAATAAAAACTTACATTATCGTTGGCATCTTTCGCCTATTCTGTCAATACAACGTTTGTCATGCACGCTCTGGCAATCCTTCATCCACTGATATACACACTAGGCTTATCAGATTTACGTACGCCTTTTAAAAATAGTAATACGAAGTTCTGATAATTATCAGATATTACAATTTTTTACGTGAAGCAATGATTGCGCCAGCGACGATGACAAAGCTATACGACGATGCACGATTTTTTACATTGATCATAATTTATAACGTAGATAAGCTTATGTTAACTGAATATTAGCGGAGATATATGCAGCATATATGATATATGATTTTTTTTTATTGAACATTGAGTGACAAAGTCACGGAACGTTATTGTACGTGCATGCGTGCAATGTATAATTAAAATCTATGCGTCATTTGAGTAAATATTAATATATCATACAAATAAAAAGGCTAGTGCGATGATAGTATTCTTGTCTCAAATGCAAATTTATTAAAAAAGTGATATCTGTATGACATTTATATTCTATTTCTATTATTTAACATTTTTCTAAAATAAATCGCTGTTCACATTAACAAAAAGTTTTTTTTCGTTGACTAGTTTGAGACGAGTTAGATTTATGGGCATTTATTTATAGGCACACAAGACATATGACATCACGTGTATGAAATTGATATTATGCAACGCATCTCCCAATCAAGCAATTGATTTGAAGTGGAGACTATAACGTGAAAAGAATAGTTTTTTGCTAAAGTATATAAAAATTGAGTCAGATATCGATTCGAAAATAATTTGGTTAGTCATCAAAATAATTACGTAGGATACTCAAATTGTTGGTTAAGAATATAAAAAATATTTGCAGTTTTAACACGCGTGATACTCATTTGTCAAGAAAAGAATTTTATTTACGTTTTATAATAATCATTTTCTTACCAATGTTCGATTTATTTTCTAAGTTACCGGTATCTAATTGAACCTGCTGCTAGACTATTAATGAATAATCGAAGAAATACTGGACTACATTTCCCGCTTTTTGGACAGATGCTTAACATTGTATATTTAGGAGTTATTTATATCTTTTAGAAAATTATCAAATTTGGAAAAGAGAATTTCGTGGAGAATTTACAGTCGATAATAAGAAGATTTCTAATGTCAGTATGATTGCCCAGTTTGATGATCATTCAATTTTATTATATTCATTAGTTTAAGTATATAATAATTATTTGGATAAGATTATTTTTAGATTTGTAGTCCAGTCTTTAGATTGTTTTCAGCAAACTTGTTCTTTTCATGTTCGAAATAAAAATTCAAAACCTTTTAGTCATAATTATATTTTTACGTTGACCACTTCTCTCTTTTTCGCTCTCTGTCTCTATCTCTATATAAAGATTAAACTGACATAAGACTGAGATTTTTAGCAATGATTTATTACCGTGAGCCACGGATCTACACTCATTGTGAGATTAACTCAACATAAAAGGATAAGAATATTAGTGATGACATATGGCCGAGCCGTAGATTTACATGAAGAACAGTAGGAGAATTAATCTAAGATAGAAAAAAGATAAAAGATGATTCTACAAAATTGCGTGCACCTGTGTAATTTAATGCTTTATAATAATCTCCAAGTCATTATGCAATTATCGTGTTATTTCAATTTTTTTGCAAGAAGAGAGAGAAAAAACTTCAATATAATAATGAAAAAAAAAATTAATTGCAAATTAGAAGGCAAGTAAGAGTCAAACGCTGTTATTGGTGCATTTGTTATATATAATATAAATAAGGCAACACAACGACGTAACGGTATTCAATTAAAAAAACACATGTAGTCATCACAAGTCAAGACAGTAAAATGACGAAGCGGTTAAAAACAATTATAAAATCAAATAAATATAATACGTGAACCACAAACAAGGACAGTGATAAGAAAATATTTACAATTTATTTATGATCGAGGTGCAAGCGTGGTGTAAAAATTGCTGAAGATGGGTCAATATAGAAACGTTCGAACTAACTTTTAAATTCGATTTTATATTAAGAATTTTTTTACCTCGGAGTTAGCTATATAAATTATTTTTTAATAAATTACCACGCATCAATAACATCGTTTGACTTTTACTTGCCTTTTAATTTTCATTGTAATTTTCGAAAGTCATTAAGATATATATATAATTTGTTAATTTAATGTAATATACAAATGCATGTTTTATATTACATGTGTTACGCTTTAATAAATACAATATAATAACTTAAATATATATGAGAGAGAGAGAGAGAGAGAGAGAGAGAGAGAGAGATTACTTGATAGATTAAATAATAAACGACCTGAAGAATAACAAAAGCGAAGATCTGAAGAATAAATATTCATTTCACGAATAGCAGACTTAAAGTCAAGATTCATTTGCGAGGTCGTAACGTTTATCGTAATGCAATCATTTGACTAGTGCATAAGATTGTTTGTCTACAATACATAAGAAGTTTTTCTCTTAGAAACTAAGGAACTTGGAAATAAGAGAAAATAATCCAGAACAATAAAACAAGTCGAAGATTCATAAATGTTACGCGTGTATATGCGTGACAATTAAATGAATTTTTAAAACCCGGAAATGAATACTGATCCATAAAGGGATTTACATATTTAAGAGAGAGAGAGAGTTACATATCTGAAATATTTGATGAAAGACCTTTATATGCGAGGAGATACGATGAGATAAAAAATTTTCCAAAATTAAGAGACAAAAGAAAGTGATACATGGAACATTAAAGCGGAGGATTCACAGATTTTGCATGTGAATATGCGTGGCGTTTAAAAATTTTTAGAAACCGAAGTGAAGATTCAAGTGGAATATATTTCTGCAAGCGGGATAGGCATTTGGACATATTTTGTTCGCGGCAAGCGCAAGATGATTTACGATTACGATTTCCTCGATAGATTGCAAATCTGCGCATCACAATAGAATTTGCGAGCTAACGAGTTTGCATAATCATTCTTTGACATTGTTCTCCTAATTCGCGAGACACGTGTAATTCAATACGAAATAATGCATCTGCTATCTATGATCAATGATTGCCGGTCATTAACAAGTAACAGAATTTTTCCTCTCCAACGACATAATTCTTATATTCGCCTTCGGCGAATCGCTAATAACGAAAAAAACTTGTTTTGCACGGTATATTAATACATCATTTGCAATCACGTCTCATCGCCGCACTAATATTCAGCCGTATTAGCCGTATTGTTGTTATGCAAGGGAATGATTTATTACGCCAAAGATCGGGACACCGACATAACAACTCACATCCGCTTAATCTCAGCTCAACTGTGTAATTTTGTAATCGCGACTAAGCATTATCATTTAGATGCATCGCATGAAGCATGAACCGATTAAAACCTTTTTGCGACGTTTTTGACGATGATCTTAAGTAATTCATTCTTATATTCAAGACTTTTTTAAATATAAAGTGCAAAATATAAAATTATCACATAACTATAATAATATCTTAATATCATTTAAATAAGAAGAGATTATGAATATCGGTCTTAGTTTTAGAAAGTGGAAATTGATTTTGCAATTCCTTTTGTCCACTTCTTGTAAAACTATATATTATAAGAAATAATTTACTGGAACTATTATGACAAGTTTAAACTCAATAGCTTCTTTTCTAGTTGGAAAAAAGAATTATGCTTTATAATTGTAATATGTAATTAATGCTATTAATATTATTTTATCAGAATTTTTAATTTTTGAAGTTAAATAAATTATAGAAATTTTTAATTTAGTCATTAATTAATTTCATCGCGCAACACGATTATATAATTTCAATTGTTTTTAATACGTTTGTTGTTACTTATAGAACAGTATGTGAAAAAACTAAATAAAAAATAATTTTACGAAGAGCAAAAGATAATTAATCATTTGTCTTCTTTTTTTAACGTAAGGATAAAAGAACATTTATCTTTAAATTAGACAATGTTTTTCTCATTGTATTTGCTACAACAAAATGCATTAAATGCGCATGTTTTTATTCGCTCAGCACTGTATTGATTTTTTTCGTAGAAAATAAATGCGAGCGTATCAACATTGATAGAATTAAATAATTAAGCTACATTAAAAGCTCATATCAGTTTATCAATTTCAATTCGAAGGTGCTAGGAATATAAAAATATATATATAAATATTTTTATGTCTTAAAATTTATATATTTATATATATAATTTATATATTTTAAAATTATATCAATTTTCGTTATTGTGAATGCAATGGAAAGTGAATTGAAAATAAGAGAAGAGAAATATTAAAAAGCTATTAAAAAAAAAATAAGAAGCTGGAGTAAAGACATAAATTACAAGTTGTGCATTGAAAGAAAAGCGTGTAATAAAAAGTACAATTACTGTCTACGCTTGTTAAATAAATTATTGTCATACATCGTTTACTGATTTATATCATGATAACATTGACGTTTTGATACTTTTATCTTGTATATTTATCATGTAAATGTTTAAAATTTCCATCAAAATTGTAAGTTTATGATTTACGAGTTATCAATCGCAATTTTATTTCTTTAATTTATGATTCCTGTTGAAATATAATTTCCTGTTGAAATACGAAAAGAATCGATTTAATATCAGTTTAATTTATTTAAGCGTTGGTAAAGTGTTAAACTTTATTGTAAATACTTGCTGAAATTGTAATTAGATATAAGTTTAATGTACAATTAAATCTTAATGTATTAATAACTTTAATGGTTCAATGCGCTATTGCAGCTGACGTTAATGCTGTCGACATTCCGAACGAAAACGACTTTCCACTTACTCGCGAGATGTCGAAAACTTTACAGTCCATTTAGAATACAGTCTGTATATCTATAATAAAAAAAGTGACCAGAAACGAAAGTCATTCCGATCAGAATCTTTTCTAAATAGATATCCATAATAATAAATGCTCTGATTGCATTCGAGTTTGTTTATGGTCTCTTATTCGATTTCACTATTTCTATTATCATAAATTACAAGCGTAGACAATAAATATTTAATTTAAGTTTCGAGTTTTAAGAATAAAATGACGTAAAATTGCAGCTATTTTCTATGAATGAAAATTTAAATGTTGCATAGATAGAGAAGAAGAGATATTGATACTAAAAATAGAGAAGCGTCAATAAATATTGATGAAGTAAATGGTATAGAATTGCTTTCCTCACTGACATAATATATTTCTTTACTGACAACGAACGTCAAATATTTATTTCGAGAGGCACAAGCGTCATTTTGAATATCTTCTAGAGAGAGAAGCAGCGAGCACCTTTCATATAAATCTAATTGTATCCTTCCAAAATTGTGACTTGCATCTATTTTCAAGTGTCTATTTTCAATTGTTTAAGAGCCGCTTTAGGAAAAAATGATCGTGCTAAAAGCGAGGAGTCGTATCACATGATGTATCACGTGATGTATGGATTCACAACAATGTGTGGATTCACAACAATGTTGCAATGAATTTAGAAACCGCTGATGTCAGCGTTATGCAACATGATCACATGAATCTCAGGCGTAATTGCATTTATTTTTTTTGTGCCTTTTTTTATCTTATGCAATCTTCGTGACAAAGCAAAAATGCATGCAGACACGAAGGACGAAAACGAGGATTTGAACGTTACTAAGCAGCTTACCTGTCACCGTAACATGTCACTATAGCACACTTTGATCGTGCGGGGCTTTATCCCGCAAATGGAACCGCGTCTAAATTCCTTTGTGCGAGCGATTCTTGTCGGAGGAGAGACCCATCGAAGGGTCGAAGGGCAGGGAAACGAGGAAGAAAAAGAAGGTCTTGAATAATGCGTATTAAAATCGCAGTGTAACATCACGGGACGCGGATCAGGCAAGGAAAACCGGTTGCCGCGGAGAAAGTAGATCGTTCGCATTTTCCTTCCGTTGCGACAGGCGTAATATCGCTTTATCGCAAAAAACACGGCTCAGCCGAGCTCGCCTCGGCGATTGACGCTTGAAAATAGATGCAAATGACAATTTTGAAAAGAATTAAATTAAATTTATACAGAAGATATCTGTTGCCCCTCTCTCTCTTCCTCTCTCTCTCTCTCTCTCTCTCTCTCTCTCTCTCTCTCTCTCTCTCTCTCTCTCTCTCTCTCTCTCTCTCTCTCTCTCACGTCGTGATTCGTATTCGGCATTCGGTAGAATCGATATAATTTCGATGAGTTCTCATGGGGTTTTCGACGAGGATCACGGTTATCGGAGAACTCGGAGAAATTGCACCGCTTTCCGCTAAGTGCAACGTTTTGGCGAGGCGCTCGAGCGAGTGATAAGAAGATTACGCAATGAGGAAAGCGTCGGAGTGACTCTTACTTATCACTTCCGTTGACCTACCCCAGATTACTGGCGGCCGTACCCATAGCCGAGTCGCGACAGCTGGTTGTCGATACTGAACCGAGATACCGAGACAGGTCGCACGTCAATTCCGCAAAGACGAATCAAAGCCCGCTTGATTTACAAGGCGAATGGTTTCGGTGCAGGCGGGCTGAGTGAATGTGATAGACGACGAGATCTTTGGGACTTGTTCGCCAATCCTCACTGCGCTCACATTTATAATGGGCTGTGCATAATAGTTTCGCGTGCACGTTCGCCATCCCCCTTCCACATTTGCTGCAAAAATAGTAGGAGTGCAAAGGATTATTGTGTCATACGGGGCATCTCAATCATATTGGATTGCACGAATCGTTCGTGGCTCGTCATCGCGTTTTAGAATTTTTTCGTTGCGGTCCTCCAAAAAGGACCCCAAGGAAACGGTCCACGAGAGTAGGAGAGGACATCGTGGTTTCGCTTCGCACGATCGGAAAACAATTGAACTTATTTGATATTGCAACTGCGAAGAGTCAATCAGAGATGAGTCATGAAAGTGAACTTGCGAATGCTGTTAAGTTAATTCTCTTCGTTTATTGCTAAATATCGTCGTGTCACGTCACTGTTGCATTAGCTGATCCAACTACTGCACGGTACAGAAATGTCATTTTTTAACATAATTACGAAAGATAGGTGGCTATTGGATATAATAAGCAAACACGCAATTTGTATATATCTTAATATCTTCAACATTATTAGCTTGATGTTTATGTATATATTTATTTATGGATTTAATATAAATCAATAAACAAATTTTGTTTATTGATTTAATCACAAATTTTGTTAATTGTAAAGTTATAAAACTTAACAATTGCATACAGGACGTTTTATATTATCTAATATTTTAGGAATTTCTAATTCTATATTTCTAATTCTATAAAATTATTTTATAAATATAAAGAAAAGTTCATATGAAATTATCGTTACTTTTTAATAATTTCTGAACTAATAACTTTATCGAAATCTATCAACACACATAGTAATCTTTTTCTAGAAGATTAATGAAATAATAAACTTCAAAGTTTCGACTTTAAGAAATAAATATATTTGGGATTGTTTAATTTATTTATTTAAGTAAATGTATTCTCCTTCTTTATCTTAAAATGAAATTTAAATTAATGCTGTTTAATTTTAAGTAAAAGATACATTTACAAACAGCACATATTTTTAAAATACAAGGCTGCCAATAAATAATAACTTCTGATAAACGTTAAAAAAATGAAATATTTTACAAAGTAACATAGTTTGAAAATTACCTTGCATATAAATTAAAATAGATTCAATCTAATTCTTCCATAGTATTATATTGTTTGGATTTATTAATAAATAATAATTACAATAGAGATCGATCTCGTTTAAATTGTTTTATTTTTTGGCATGTGGTACAAGATAAATACGCGCTCGAGGAGGCTCGAAAGTAGAGAAACTCGTACGTCCAACTTATTTAATTAACGTTCCCACGATGATTAGCAACAGCTCCTACGCGCTATTTCTTCATGGCACTCGCGTATATCGCGAAGACGGTTTCCTCTCAGTTTCCTCCTGTCATTTCCTCACGGTATTTCACGGGGTAGGCTAATCGGTTGCCCTTGTTCCACGTGTAGAGCTCCTGAAACGGAATGGGTGATCGAACGCGAAAACAGTATGGTGAAAGGTACCACCGGTTAAGCACGTACCTTAGTTTTATGATTATAGCTAACCGCCGTGGTCTTGTGGTACGGGTTCGTGAACGACAAGTCTATATTCACCGTCGTATTTTTGAACAGATCGAAGGCGAATCTAGCAGGAAAATTGGATCGTATTGAAGATAATGCAGATAATTTTCAGAAAAAAATATTCACGATAAAAATACTAATTAATAAAGATTAAAACGGACATTAAAAAGAAACGGAAAATATTAATTGTTAAAAATATTAGAAAACATAAAATGTATCGAGGAACTTTTGCAAGATATTCGAAAGTGAATCTAGGAGGAAAGTTCGACCGTATTAAAGATAATTTTCAAAAAAAAGCGATAAAATATACGATAAAAATATTGACAAAGATTAGATATTGAAGATATTAAAAAAAAATATAAAATGTAACAAAGAACTTTTTACAGAGTATTTATGATTCGTATAATTGCAGTTTTAAGAGGAATTTGTATTACCCTATTTTCATAGTGTCGTCGGTAACGCTGTGAATAGCGTAAAGCACACCTCCCGCAATAAACATCTCTCCGAATCGACGATGATCGATACTGATATTCCACGCGTACTGAATCATCATTTTAGCGGGATCTATTTTCACCACCACCGTATTGTTCATTGGCAACGCGTAAATGACCCACAAACCTGCATGAAAATGACGCATGTGTGTTGCACATCATATTTTAAATTACGACATTTCAATTTTTTAATATTCAACTCGGCATGAAAATATTTTTATTATTCGATTATTTTCCGTTCATTTCTAAAATATTGAGAGAATGTCTGTCTGCCGCGCGTTTTTACCATTTTCGTCTACGTTGAAATCCACATAAGTGAAATTGCGTGTGTAGAGAAAGTTCTCCCTATCGACGTGCAAGCGCGGAAGCTCCAGCTCGCATTTTACATTTTTGGGATTGAGTTCGGTGCACTTGCGATCCGAGGAGAGATCGTATCGGAAAACCGTTGATCGATTAAAAGGATTGTAGAAGAATGACTTGTTGTAAACTACATGTTCATTACCCTAAAAGAAAAAAAAAAGAAATATCGATCTCAAGCGAGCTCAATTCATTCGCCTCAAACTTTTTCTGATATGAAAATTATTTTAAAAGGATATATATATATATATATATATATATATATATATATATGTC